AAAGGAAAAATTATTCATTGTGTTACATTATTTGCATTAAGGAACATTTTTATTCCACATTAGTTATCTTATAAATAATATTTATTTTCGATTAATGCGGAAACTTCGGTCAGCGTGTTAATTAACAAATGTATAAGAATTACGTACAAGAACTGTATTATTGATCCACAAATATGAATTAAATACTGCCTGGAGCCCATTGTGATAAAAGGAATGCATCTAGTGACATTTATACAAGCCTGCCAACTTTGCAGCTGGAAAACACAAGAAATCAACAAAACAAAAAATCAGAAATGGGTCAATTTGACCCGTCTGGTAATTTAGTGTTAAAATTCAGCTGCCCTTGAACGCGACGTGGAAGTTGCGGCCTAAAGTGAAATAGGAAAATCCTTTTCTGTTCCCCGCAGGAACGATTCTCTGTCAAATGAAACGAATAAGGTTGAATTGCGTGTCAGTCAGACAACTTCATTGGAATGATCGCTCGTTTTCCGCTTGAGAGCGCTCCAACTCCATTTTCCTTTCTTCTCGACCTCGTCCCGGAAAAAGCTTAACTTTTGTTCAATCCTTCAACCACGTGGATTCATTGGAACAGAGTCCATTGAAGAATAATTCAAATAGTACAGTGTAGTTATTATTGACAGTAAAACTACCGCCAGTTTGAGGCACTTCGAAATTTTTATTTTGCAAATATTGAAATTTCGAAGACGTTTTTACGAAAGATTTTCAATTAAATTCGTGCAGCTGCACAGGTACAGAACTAGAAGACTCTTCGAGGCTTAAGAAACATATTCTTCTAATTTTTATAAGAAATTAGAAATAAGTTATTCTATTTGCTCTGTAGTTTTAGTGTTAAGACTGAAGGGTGGAAATGTGTATAAACTAAACTGGATAATGATTAAATACCGCACGTAAAATATAATTGTATACAACTTATTTCTACGAAGGCCAACGCACGACTTTTCAGCAAAACTCTTTTCGACGATAAAAATCATTTTCTCCCTACATTCTTCTAACTCGCACTATCAGCAAACTCTCAAACACACCCCTTCAAATCTAAACTGACAACCTTAGGCCTGCAACATTGCAAAGGCCAGTTCCCTTCGACCATTGCAACTTTTCTCTTTTATTAGCTTTTTCTTATCCCTTTGCTCACACTCATCCTACAGTCAAGCTTCCTAATTTGTTAACTGTGGAATTTAGTTTAGAAAATCTCTCGTTCTGTGGAATGAAATCGAAAAATTTCAAGCTCTAAGATGACGTGTATACCCGTCAAACGCAGTTAACTGGTTAAAAATATTCTAAACTACGTTGCAATACACGAAAATTTTGGGTGCTACGATATTGTCTTCAAATTTCTGAAGAATCGTCGAAGTTCTTACAGCTACTGAAGAAGCGTCTCCATCTTGCGGCAGCGTAAAGATGGCCGCCGCGCGTTCCAATGGCGGTCAATCGGGATTCGTCACGCGCGAGTGGTTTCCGCGACAGAAAGCATTCGGAAAGACCCAGTTTTCGCGGAACTTTCTAGGAATCTCGACAAAAGAATTCACGTAGCTGATCGAGCGGAGGAATCCTATCCTTCGAGTCGCTTTTGGCACGGAAAGGTTGGCATTACACGCGGCAACGGCGCGACGAAGGTCGCCATTGCAGGGCCGGCGGCAAGCATAAAATTAACCGTGATCCCCGATAGCCTCGTCACCCTTCCATCTTCCTTCTTTTAAATATCATCGGACATTAGGCTTCTTCGCAAAGATCCTCTAGGGGCCGCCACTTATGACAGTACAGGAATTGGTGATTCGCGGTACTCGATCTGTACTAATAAGTCCTGATAGGAATGAGCTGCTTAGGTCTGGAAGACGATGCGTCAAAGTCTTGATAGCGATAAGCTACCTAGATTTAGAAGACAGGACGCCAAAGCCCTGTCCTAGCAGACTCTCCAGTTGACCGTCATAACTGGCACTGGGAGACGACTTTATGTCTAGCATAACCGCACAGGGGTGCCTTGGTCAGTTCAGTGGTGTCTAACTTACTCCCCTCGCTAGTAACTCGAAAACAGCGTTCCCCCACTTAAAGAGCTGTTCAAGACTGTATCTGATCAGATCTATATTGTGTCTACTACAAACAGGCGAATGTAGGTATGGAGACGGTAACTTTGTGAGGAGAATATTACTAGAGTACCCACAGGCACGTAGTTAAACACTCTTGTTCTAGTTTATAGTTTTAATTGGTGAAACGTAACTGTATTGACAAATAGTAAATTGGTGCTCAGAAAGATCAGGAATTAGGAGATCAAGGTAATAGAAAATTGCGTGGGAACAAATGAAAACTGATCAATCAGCTGAGTTTCTTAGTCTAGCCATTAAGTGATCTCCTAGCAGTACCTTGGTGACCAGTGCTGGCCAGGTCATTGGGTTGGGTTGGATGGGACAGTAGTTCATAGCCTGCGTACTTGGCCAGGATCCCTTTTTCCAGGGTCCTGGCTCGTGAGCAGTGCCTCACCTGTTCCGTCACTAGCCTGGATAGCTGGTAGAGTTTGAGAAAGTGAATTCGATGCTACCAGCAGTCTATCTTCATGAGACTTGTCAATTCTTGGGTGGCTATTGCCTCTTTTCTCCGCAATAGTGATCGCAAAGCTAAAAGTGCACAGAGGCAAGGGGAATCGGCCCCATCTCCGTCCTTTCAGGAAACAGTAACCGAGTCTTCGTGTCCTCAGGATTCGATAAATATAAAAAACTAGCGGTCGTTGCACGAAATATGGCACTTTGATCTAATTGGTCAGTTTTCATGTTTTCTCATTTCACCTTAAATACCAATTTGCTATTCGTCAATACGATTACACGTGATCAATGAAAACTATAATCAAAGCACATAGCTAGAAGGTCCTCCAAAGCATATATGCAATTGTTTAATAAAATGTTTCAAGAAGGGTTGGTGGTTGGGTAGTTTGAAAAATTTGATTTTTTGACAAATTTTCCTTCGCAATTCTACACAAGTGAAACAATATATTTTTTGTTTAAACTTTTTCCCCTATCTCTCATCATTCTCAATAGCATTGCTTAAAATGCTTGTTCAAAGGGTGGGTTCACCTTGTCAAAGTGAAATTCGGTACGAAAACAAAATTCCAATGTATTAGCCTCGATTTACTCTACTTATGCACAAAGTTTCATAACTCTTTGAATTTCTGAGTTAGACAACTTTCCCTGTCAGACGTTAAAGAGCGTAAATGCGCAAATTAAAACCCTGATTCGAAGCGTTCGAGTATCTCACACGATTTTAAGAGCTGTCGTTCATCGAAAGAATTCCGTCTGCACATTTCCCGGAATGTGAAAAGTTGCGGGGACTCGACGAAAGAGGCCCGGTAATGAAATAAGTCTGGCGTCCGCGTTTAAATCCGCGACTCCGGCGAACGCAATTTCCGATAATCTGTTTACCGTGGTTGATTCCGAAGTTTCGCGGAACGATCGGTGTGTACGCGCCGGAAAATTAGCATTTCAAATCCAGAATCGATACGCGTTAGAACTTTCCGCTCGGCTCGTGTCAACGATGCTGACAGCGGACTCTTGTCGATAAATCGAGGGATTATGCGGAGCACGGTTGAAGTATTAACAGGGAGAACGATTTTTTCGCTGGCCCAACCATTTAAGCCTCGTACCAGCGACTGCGTATATTTTTATGCTTTTAACCGTGGATTTTGTTATGTTTTGCTGGAAATTTGATAAAATCGGATCTCTGTTTTATGAACAGTTGCATATGCCAATTTCTGCTTCGGAAATAATGAGTGCGTATGGAAATTCTGTGACACTGGAGCTTGAACAGACGCGAACATTTCGTCTGCTAACGTACCGGTTAATCGGGGATTAATTTTAAATAATCGTTCGAACGTTTCGTTGAACCGATTCGAATGCTAATGTAACAATAAAACAAGCTGAAATCCGAGCGAGAAGAGTAGTGAGAGCTTTAAGTTGGGAACTTGATGAAATAGTTGAAATTTCGGTTTCTCCGGGGACTTAGCGCAAATATTTCGTGACGTATCTACCCTAACATCATCGGAAAAGTATTCTATACTATCTTATCTGTCCATTCTCGGTGAACTCGTAAAACATTTCGCATTCTTGCATCTTATCGGAACGTGTCCTGGGTGCTATGGATCCTTAGAGCTCGGCATTAAAATGAATGGGACTTCCGGAAGATTTTAGAGACGCGAGAGAACACGAGGCTTAGAATATTGTTGCCTTGTGCTGAAGCAAAGGAGCTGCTCGTATTATTTTATGCGAGACACATATTTTTCAAGGAGGATTATTTAAAAAAAAGAAGAATATTTTGAAAAAAAAAGAAATGTTTTTTATCACGTTGAATGCCATGTCACTGGTGACCCCCAAGCAAATCGAATTACTATAATTCACTTAATTAAACGATGATTATTCGTAAACATTTCTATATTATAAGTACAGTTTGTGTGACATTCAGTTTGATGAACGTGCAATGATAATAATCCGATTCAGTCAAATGATTTAATATTATATTTTTTTCATTTTGTGTATTTTGCTCTATGAAACCGTGCGGCGTTCAACGTATTAAACAGATAATCTTGAAACCAGAAAAATGTTTTTAAAGGGATAATCTTTAAATCAGAAACGTATTTTTAAAAAAGATTATTTGAAGAAAAGAAACATATTTTTAAAAAAATTATTTGATGAGAAGAAAAATATTTTTAAAAAAGATTATTTGAAGAAAAGAAAAATATATTTAGAAAACATATTTGTTGAAACTTTTGCTTGGATATTTTATTTATATTATATAAATATGAGGATTTATTAAGTTTATAAGATATGTCAGATATTACTGTTCGAAATAGAACGAACGAACAAACGCGTAGAAGTTCATTTTGAAGTCGGTTTAAGCGTAATAGGGAATAAACGAGGTTTAATGAAATTCAAATATTCCCGCGCGTTCGGGGATTTATTGATTTTGCGCGCTCGTGACCGATTACAGTACCAATTCGACCAGGCACTCTTATAGTTAGTGGGAAGTTGGTGCACGCGTGCAGAGAGATCGTTAGAATAGCTAGACACGTGTATTTATGTGATTGAAACGTGAAATGTCCAAATTTCTAATATCTAGTGCGAGTTTGTTAATTACTAGTTAAAGAATAATTTAATTTTGTTCGCTACTAGTGCGCGTTTTACAACATTCCGCTAACCTACTTGCCCCGACAGGTTTCCTAACCTATACCCGAGTGAAATCGCAAAAGTTTGTGACAATGGCTAGAAATATAAAAATTGGAACGCACAACGGTAACTTTCATTGCGACGAGGCGATCGCTTGCTCTATGTTGAAGATGTTGCCGCAATATAAAGATGCAGAAATCGTCAGGTAATATATATATATATATTTTTTCATTTATTCGATGTTCGGTACTGATGTTTCTTAGAGCAGAAATTAAACACACTTAGAAGCAACACTATTGAATATTCCATTGAAATTCACAGTATTAGTGGACCTGAATTGAGGTTGTTTTTAGATCAAGAGATCTTAATATTTTAAATCCTTGTGACTTGGTAGTTGATGTTGGTGGGAAATATGATCCTTCTAGTCATCGTTATGACCATCATATGAGGTATATTTCAAATTGTCATGTTGTTATTTATATTCGAATGGATAGAACTTCATAGACTATATTTTCTTATGAATTAGAGACTTTAAGGAATCCGTGAGTACAGTTATAAAAAAGCCTGGGTATGATTGGAAGATGAAACTAAGTAGTGCAGGTTTAATTTACTGCCACTTTGGCCATGAAATTATTAAACAGTTGAGTCCAAATTTAAGTGACAACGATGTAGAGAAGATTTTTAAGAGAATTTATGATACCTTTATTCAAGAAATTGATGGTATAGATAATGGAGTTCCAATGTTTGAAGGAGAACCTGTGTAAGTGGTGATGATTAATACTGCAAATATTAGAATAATTCAATTGAACCTTTGAAATTAAGTTTATAATATTTCTCTTTTTAGATATCGTATTGTTACTGATCTATCTTCTCGTGTACAATTTTTAAATCCTCCGATGAATAGTGACAGTGTTGTTAGCGATGAACAGTTTTTAAAGGCAGTTGAACTCACTGGTCAAGAATTTGTAGAACATGTGAAATATGCAATAAATAATTGGTTACCAGCTAGGTCTTATGTGGAAGAAGTTATCCGCAATCGTTTTGAGGTGAAAATAATTTATATAGTGTTATGTAATGAATAGTATAATAGTGTCTGCAACTATCATGCCAGTTTGTGCCAGTGGAATAAGTGATTTCAGCTATGCGATAATAAATATTTGCAGGTTGATTCAAGTGGGGAAATTATAGAGTTCACTAAACCTGCATCAGAAGTTATGAGTCACTTATTTACAATAGAAAAGGAATTGAATGTACAGCCCACAATAAAGTATATTGTTTTTAATGATGATACCTATCGAGTTCGGTGTGTCCCAATAGCACCTTCAAGTTTCATGTGCAGGTACACATAGGCAGCAGTTTGTTCAAGCGATAATAAAGGAATCCTCTACAGTCTTAACACATCATATTATTTTGTAGAATGTTTTTACCAGAAGCATGGGCAGGTCTGAGGAATGAGGAACTAGAACGTGTCAGTGGAATCGAAGGTGCTGTATTTGTGCATTCAGTGCGTTTCATTGGTGGATGTAAAACCAAAGAGGGTGCATTATCAATGGCACGCAAATCACTTGAAATAGGAAAATCAGGATCCAATTAACTACAGTTTTATTTCTAATTTCATCAGAATTTTATTTATGAGCACAATTGGACGTCAATCATGTTGTAACACATAGTATTTTGCATACCTGATCTTAGGAAATAAATAATTTTATTCTATATTCCACGTTTCCTTGCTTTTTCATCTTCAGTTTCCTGTAAGCTTAGGTTTAACAGTTCCATTGTGCCACAGCACAAAGGAAAGTACAAAATTTACATAATTTAGAGGAGCCAATCGTAGAAAGTCAAATATATGTTGAACATACGTTTCTCTGAAACACTGGACTCCTTTTGATCTCTTCCTTTGATAGAAGGGACTAGTGTTTCCTGTTGGCAGCAATTTATCCATTCCATTTTATCCAACTATAAAGTTCCTTTTAACTTGCTATCTGCTAAAATAAAAGGCCTTTCAAAACAAATAAGAATCGATTATCAAAGGATTCCCTCTCCGCGCTCAATAAAAACACAATTTACTCGGGATTCGCTATTGGATTTAACGGGGAATCCCCGCTAATTGGTGTCGGTTTCAGGCTCCGGTAAAAATGGTTCGACGAATGGAAAAATATTTCAAATAACGAAGCTATTTAAAAGCATATCGACAAAGGAAGCTTGTGAAACGAACGGCGGTTCAAATGAAAATTATTTTTCATTTCTGTTAATCGTGTCTACCAACTTAGCAGACGATAAATGAGAACAAACAATAGTAGTAACAGAGAACCAACGAGACAAATTATTTGTATCATTATTTAAACAAAATAGCGTACAAATATTTGCAAGTAGATTACCAACTAATGATATTTCAATTAAATCCTTGTTTCACAATGACTTTCGAATAGAAATTGTCATTATATTCTGCGAAATAAATATTAAATGTTACTATTTTTATCAACTGTTCATGTTCCCAATTACGGGACAACCATAGAATTCTTTATTTTTCAATAGCAATAGTTCATTACTATTAATGAGAAAATAGTTATAGCAAGCACAAATATGCAAGGTTAAGCGATTAAAAAAACCGCATGAATTTCTTTCGGTACCTAACATGATTCATGTTATTGTAAAATTATAAAAATATATTTACCTGAATTTTTGTTAATATTTCTTGCATTGTGTGAATGAAATTAATAACTTTTTAAATACCTTCGAGTTTTTAATGGTTCTATGGTGTTAGTAATTGGAAAATATGAAAATGATTGGTTAACCACTTAACCTTGCATAATTGTGCTTGCTATAACTATTTTCTCATTAATAGTAATGAACTATTGCTATTGAAAAATAAAGAATTCTATGGTTGTCCCGTAATTGGGAACATTAACAGTTGATAAAAAGAGTAACATTTAATATTTATTTCGCAGAATATAATGACAATTTCTATTCGAAAGTCATTGTGAAACAAGAATTTAAAAGTGTTTATTAAACATCCGCTATCGTTACAAATGATATCGAGCAAACAACATAATGGAAACATCAATTCTCATCAACCCATCTCTGTTTACCGAAATCTCGGTTCTTTGGGTTTCCGGTTACGCAAATATGACATAGGATTCAATTCGCCCCGGTTTTTCCTCCTTCGCCGCCGGAAACTCGTTAACCCGGTCCCTCGAAAAAGCTTCGGGTAATTCGGTTTCCCAATTAAATCCTAAGCCGTGCCGCGTATCGGCGGCAGAGGCAGTATCTATTTGTTTTTCATCGAGTTTACTGATCATCCGGACGACGATCGGCCCGCGATCGAACTGAAATCTGCAAGTCGAATTTAACCCTTTCCGGCTGAAGTCTGGGCATGAACCGGCATGGCACTTTTATCGTACAAGATAAGAGCCGGGTATCGTCAAAGGTTTGACTGTTTTGTCAATTGAGTGACTGACTCTTTTAGCTGCCTTATTGTAACTGTTAAATAAATAAGTACGTGTAAACTATAAATATGTTAAACATATATTTATATATAAATAAATGTAAATTAGAATTATGTTGAGCATATTTATATATAAATAAATGTAAATGATATGTTCATTTATTAGCAACTGAGCGCTACGACCAATCGGGTAGCCCACTATCGGAGCGTTGCAACATGAAAGAGTTGAATAAATAAGTAAATATAAATCATAAATATGTTAATTTGTCACCGACTGAGCGCTATGACTAATCGAGTAGCATTCTCGAAATGCTCTAAACGAAAAGGATCAATCGCGACTGTAAGTTCCAAATATCTTCGAATTATTTATTGAAAATAAATAATCACTTGTATCGATGGGTTCGAGTCTTCCAAAATTTCATGATACACGTTGCACTCAAACAAAAAGTGAAAAACACTCAAATCCATCACTTACAGCGATGCACGCGTCGCCGTATGTTTCAGCGTGTATGGGGGCCTTTATAGTGGTCTATTGGAAAGTAATTACCTAATCCGTGTTCGGCGTTGATTATCAATCACTAAGCTTTCTGTCGTCGGCTCGCGGCGCGGCTTACAGTCAGCTTCATTATCAAGTTTCCCGGCTTTCTATCTTCATCCTTCCGGGGTCGGAGCCGGTGCCGCGTTAAAATTATGCGGCGACACGCGGTTCGATGAACGTACTTGACACGTCGCCGGCATGCTCGGGGAAGCACCGTCTGCGCGGCGTCTTCGGGAATCGGAGTAAATCGCGAATTGCACTGGTCTACGAAACTTAACCCTTTGCACTCCAGAGGCGCCACTCAATCGCCAATTGATTCGACGCAACAAAATTATCAAGTTTGATATTTAATATTAACCGTTTGAGTACCAGAAGTTTTAAAGAAAAACATGTACGCGACTATCTGACCTGCACTTGGGAAGTTGCTTCGAAAGATGTCATGCTAAGAAACATTTTAAGCTCCATTAATTTATATTAAAAGCAGTCAGTGAAGGTTTTTGACGTTGTGCTTTTTAAAGTACCACGAATAAAGTATAACAAATTTGTATTGTCATCTACAGCATGACATACGAGTGCAACGGGTTAAGAGATAATTTTTCCAAGCGAAAGGGGAGTGTCCGTCGAAAAACCGCGTCCCTTCGATTCGAATAATTAACAAGATCGTCTGCACGAAGAAATCAAGCGGCACTGTTCGGGCCTTCCTTCATTAGCATCTCGTCTCCCTTTCAAAGCCGGTAACCTAATTCGTTAGTCGCCGATGCGAGAAGCGCCGGCGAACAAAACGAAGGAGGAAGTCACGGAAAAATAAAGGGACATAGTAGAGCAGTGTTTCTCAAAGGGTGTGCCATAAAATATCCAAGTGAGCTGCGAAATCTTAAAGAAAACTAGCGTCTGGTCTAATATATTTTGGATTTCAGTCAGAGATGAATATCCAAAGTTATTCGGAAGAGCAGGAATATTTTGCTAGTTGAACAAAATATTAATAAAAAATAAGCTAAAGTTAAGCAATAAATATCGTTGCGATTGAAATAAGTCCAAACACGATGTAAATTAGACTAGTTTCACCGACTTAATGTAATTAACAAAGTTAAAGATCCATTTCCTTGAAATCGATTAAACTAGTTCGATTTACATCGTGCCTGGACTTATTTTAATCACAACAATTTCAACAATCCACTGGCACTACGTTTGAGAAAATAACATCGAAATTAATGAAATTTATATTTCCTTTATCTCATGTTTATATTTGATGGCATCGCTTTGAAATCTCTGTTTTAATTTGACTGCCACGAGAATTTCGAGCGTTTTATTTGTAATAAGATTTATTCCTTTACAATAAAGGCTGATGGTATTTGAAATAATTATTGTTTTGGTATTGTAGTACTCATATCACACTGTTATTTGGATTCTTGTATTACTAAATATTTTGATTGAATATCCATTTTCTAATTGTTTTCGAGCAATTCGAAAGCTCCGGTCACCGGTGACCACCGTGGCAGTCGATGTGTTAAAGATATGATCTGTGGACAGTAGCTGTGCCGTGAAATTTTTCTTTGGAAAATATGCCACGAGGGTAAAAGAATTGAGAAACACTGCAGTAGAGAGACAGTCATTTTAAACCGGCGCCAAGGGGAGTCCCGGAAATCGTGTTACAATATCGGATTAAAAAAGGTCCCGCGAGCACCGCGCGCGCGGTTCTGTCTCCAACGGCGGAATAATTGGAGTACTCGCTCAATTATCCGGCACTCGGTGCGCCGCTGTTCGAGAACTTGCGCCCGTGTGTACGTGCGCGCATTACACACCGAGAAATTCTCGACAGCATCCTCGGGGGAATATGTTTTTCCCCCGATGCGTTCGAACTACTCCGCGTTTGTTACGACCGTTTCCGTTGCTGCGAAACTTTCGGCTGATCGTTACTTCTTGGCCACGGTTGCAGACTCGGTCCCCTCCGTTCTCCGTATTTCATCTTTCCGATGGGCCGTGAAACTCAGGAAAGTCGGATCGGGAAAATTGGGAACTTGTAACGTTCGTGGAAGCAAGTGGGAAGTCTTAATAGATGTGGATGCTAAATCTGTTAGCTCTGAAGCTACTTTGCTACAATTCTTTTGAATACCATGTATATTTTTGTTATTACGAGTGTAGTTGAGTTAGGTTTTGAAGTGTAGGTAGTTAAAGCAATTTGGTGGGTTTAGTGAGCATTCGAGACATTTCTGATTCTGTAATTGAAGTTGTAAGTTCGTTTTGTGTCTGTCTAGGTCTGAGTTAGGTAGCTTCGGTATTGTTTAGGGCTAACAGGGGAAGTTGTCGAACCCGGAAATTCAAAAAATTATGAAACTTTGTGTGAGTAGAGTGAGTCGAACTTAATACATTGGAATTTTTGTTTCGTGCTGAATTTCACTTTGAAAAGGTGAAACCATCCCTTAAAGAAAATGCAAATTTTTCCTTGTGGATTATCTTGCGAATGATAAGAGACAAGGGAAAAAGTTTCAAGAAAAAATGCATAGTCCTTTCACGCCTATAAAATTGTAGTTCAAATTTTTCAAAATGATATACGTGTGCAAAGGATTAAATCTACAGCAGGTACCTAATGATCTTCATATTCCATAATTGTGCATTTTATTGATTTATATAGACATAAGGTGGATACCTATCCACAAGATCTAACAATCCTAATTCAATCTATTCTAAACATTTACGGTACTCGTTATTTCGTTACGCAGTATACAATACAACGATACAAATGTAGTATCGGTGCCTATATTTTTATCTAGGCCTAGACTACAAAGAGACGGATAAACGAATTAACCTGAGAAGCAACAGAAACTCGATCTCATAATTTCTTAATCGAATAAAATTACGATCATCTCCGGCAGTACATGGAGAATATGTTAAGAGCATGATTTATCGATCGCAATAAATAATTTACGTGGCGCGGAGAAGTGGTGCACTCAGCGTATGAATCGAGTGGTCGTGGGAAAATAATGAAACACGGGATTCCTCGGTAATCCAATAACAAAGAGAATCGTGCGAAGTGAACGGCGACGCGAAGTGTGTCATATTTATTCAACGAATTCCCCGATTTCAGTCGCTTATTTATCGAATTGGATGCATAAACAACGGTGGGCGAATCGTACGATTCCTTGAATGTCCCGGGCCGCCATTGAGGCGGCGACGCGACGCCATGATTGTTCGAAATATATTTCGATGTAGGGGAACGACAGCTATTGGAACGTCTGTTTCGAAAAGTTTACCAAAATGAGAGCCACGCAGTTTTTTTTAATGAAACCTGCATCAAAATATGAAGCAATTAATTAACATTCGGACATTGATCGATAACAATAAAAAATGTAAATAAAGTTAAAAACAGCGATTTCAAAGAATGGTACCTATTGGAACATCTGTTTTGAAAAGCTTGCAAAAATGAGAGGTATGCAGTTTTTTCAAAGACACCTGCATCAAAATATGAAGAAATTAATGAACATTTGTACACTAATCGATAACAATGCGAAAATTTAAATGCCTGCAATGGATGATTTTCACTCTGCTGGTAGTTTTACTGCTCATATATGCATTTATGCTAATGGAGTTGTAGATCTTCGAACAATACCGAAGACTGGTTGCCAAATCGTTGAAAAACGCGGCGCCAACGATCTGGTGGCGTCAAATACCGAATGAAAACTCTGACAAAGGTCTCCGCGAATTTGTTCTCGCGAGAATGAAAGGCGGCGGCCATCGACGGGACATGCAATTATGCGAAATGGCTTATCGCAGTTTGCATAGCTCTTTATGACGGAATAATCGCCGTCCGTGCTTTTCTACGATAGCGCTGTTCAATTACTTAAAAAGGTCCTTCAGCAAGAGTTATCAGCGCGGGACCGGCGGATAGAATTTAACATCGAGCTGTTTCCACCTTTTTTTCTTCTCCCCCCTCCCAGCGTTTTTCCAGTTCCCGCGCCATAATAATTGCATCATTTGTCCTCTCTGTCGAGGCAGATAAGCTTTTAAGGAAAATTAACAGGGCTCGCTCTCTGACACGAGCATTATTAATCTTCCCAGATTTAACTAGTAGAATGAAAGGGGAATTCATAATTTGAAAATTGCATCGAAAAAGGCTTTTTAAATAGATGAAGGAAGCGACGTATTTCACCTTTGACCCCTCCGAGAGTGTTTCTTGTAGACGCCATTTTGATCGTGGTAAGTATCGTATTAGCAATCGAGAAATTTATTCTATACTATACTAAACACACATAAATGTTACTCAATTCTTGCGAATACAAATTGAATGTTATCTATTATTATAGTTTAGAGAATTATCTATTATTATTAGGATATACCTAAAATTTTCTCTTTCTTTTCAATAAATTATTAATGGCAAAGTAGTTGTGTCGATGATAGTTGAAGAAGATATGAAAATGATAGTACTGTTTAAGAGACTGTTTTCTTTATTTTAGGTGATGTGTCGAGCATATTGAATTGTGGGTAGAAATTTAAGATTTAAGAGAGGTGTGCGTCAGGGGTTGCTTCGAGCGTCTAGGCAGATGAGATTCCTATTTGATCCCTCTGTAAGAAGAAGGATCGCACGTTATCTTGATTGATTGATCGAACCCCATACAGAGCACGCACGGTTCTTCGCACACTTAATGGGCCACGAGTTTCCCTCGGGACTGTGTGAATTGCTGGAACACGTGATGTATCCATTGGTAATTGATGGCCACGTTACGGTAATATTTGTTGGGGAACACGGATGAGTCTAATTTGGAAAGAATGATGGCTACAGATATATATGCTACTTGTGTTATGCTGGACATTTGGAAATGGAAGAGTGGAATTTTCTGTCATTCAGCGTTCAGAGAATTTGAATGTTTGAAATTTACGTAGGGAAGCTGATGGTTTGAAAATTGACAAGCTGGATGTTTAGAGGAGTTCAACATGGGTGAGACTAATTTCGAAAGAATGATGGCTACAGGAATATGCCATTTACGTTGTACTGGACATTTGGAAATGGAGTAGTAGAATTTTCTGATATTTTCAGTGTTTCGAGAATTTGAATGTTTGAAATTTACTTAGGAAAGTTGATAGTTTGAGAATTGAAAGGCTGAGGTTTTGTAGGCTCGGAAGTTGAAGACTTCAGGGATTTTGAAAAATGTTGGTGGTTGTAAACGTAGGGAATTTGAGAATTGGAAGATTAAAAAATTAATGAATTAGAAACTTTGGAGTTTTAGAACTTTGAAAATATATCATTTCTAACATTTGTAAATTTGGAACTTTGAAACTTAAAAATTTGGAACTTTGAAATTCTAAAACTTTGAAACGTGGAAAATTTATATTTTGAAATTAAAAAATTTGAAATTTTGAATCTTTGGAACTTGTGAAGTTTTGACATTTAGGAAATTAATAATAACCGGTGTATTTACTAATTAGAAAAAAAGTTCAGATAAACTTAATTCGCCCTCGACATCCGGTTAAACTAACTCCCGTCTGCTTAAAATAAATGTCCGCAGCGCAAATTTGTTTAATACTCATGGAAAGAGTTCCTTCTGGCTTGGTATTAAAAGGTACTCGAAACGGGCTTTAGCCAGCGTACAACCACCATTGAATGCCATTCAAATTAGATTTAAATCACCGGTGAGATTTGCATGGACGTCGAGATTCTTGAACCACGGGAATAAGAGGACGTTTTCTGCCTTTATTCGGACTTTGAATAAGTTGTTTACCCTGTAAACAAAGTACACCCCTTACGACGTCACGAACTCAGTCTTCCCTGCGCGTTGAAATGGAACATATAAATAATTCATACGGAAACCATTACTTATTAAATAAATTCAGACCGGCCATTGAATCGGAAACAGTCAATGGAAAGAGAAGTAAGAATAGAACTGGGTAAATAACAGTCATCGATGAAGTGAGTAATACTTATTGACAGAATTCTTTTCTTTCAATATATTTGAATTATTCCTATTGACGTATACAGATAGCATCTGTCAGATGCCTATTAGCATCTATGTATATGCCTAGATTAAGTAACTATAGATCTTTATTAGCAGTGATTAATTACAAATGAACATCTTTATACTACAATTAAATACAGTTTTATTTACATACATCAATCTGTCGTACATATATGCATACTCAGAGAAGGTTCCTAGAGACTTTGAATAGGATTTAAAATAGGTATATGAATAATTTTAGGATAGATACCTATAAAGGTACATAGGTTTTTTTTAGGCACTTACACACATACATAACCTCAAAACAAACATCTACAGATGTGCTAAGGTTTAAGGAGAAAGTTCATAGACATACATAGGTCAGGGTAGGCGTTTACAGGTATCTATAATTACCTATTTATCTACCTACACAAATTAGATACTTTTGACCCTGTACAGGTCTAGGTTAAGCACCTACAAACATGACTAACCTCAAAATAGACACCCAGAGACATGCTAAAGTTTAAGGTAGACACTTATAGACGCTGACAGGTCCGAGGTATACACTTATGGACATGCATAGCCTTGGAACAGATACCTAGAGACCTCCAAAGCCCCGAGGTGTGTACCTATAGAATCTATTAACTTATGGAGATTTGTAAAAGGGGATATAAATAATTCATAGGGTGTACATGTAATAATGCATAAGCCCGTAGTCCCGAGTGAGGCCTCTGCTAACCAGATCCTCTCGATTCCAGGCACGAAGCAATCCTCCGCCCATGGGAGGCCATCAGTCCACCGCACCCCCTTGGTAAGCCGGTGGATTCCCGACCAATCGAGATCGTGAACTATCACCGGCGACCGAAGGATAGAGGCTGACATCACGAAACGTTCAAGGGAGCGGACTGTCGTTAGAGGCCGCCGTAACAAACAGAGGAGGCGAAGGTGGCTCGCGTGCCAAGAAGATGCGGGTGTTCGCGTGGCCTGGCAGCTTGACTCGCGGTATACTCGTAAACGATGAATTGGCGGGCAGCGATGTTGGCTCACGCGTACCCGAGAGTATCGGTAGCAGCAGGGGCAGCAGCAGCGAAGGCGGCAACAGCGAGCAACAGCAGCATCAGCTTCAGCAGCACAGACATCATCGAGCGGTACGTGTCGGCGAGAAAGAGGGCGAGGGGAACACCATCGACATCATCGGCTGGGCATGTACGTCATCTACCCAGCGGACGAGCTCCTGCGTATCTATGAGAATCCAGCCGTCGCGCGCGATTCCAGCCCGGTGTTGACTGTAGAACGCCGGCCGAGCTGCGAGATCCACGTGATCGCCGTCAGCGAGAAGAGAACCGAGGAGGTACGGCTCGACGAGGAGCACCGCGAGAAGAAGAAGAAGGAGAGAAGGAGCAACAGTGTGCGCGGCTCGTGGTCGCGTAAAAAGTCTGTGAAGCGTAGCGAGACGCGAGGCCGCGGCAAGACCAAGGACACTCGTCCCAGGAACGACACCAGGACTATGCAAAACAGCCGTGGCGCCGGCGAGGACGCCGCCAATCCTTTCAAGGACCTCACCCAGCCCGGGCTCAACGAGCCCCTCAAGCAGCACAATGCGGCAGCTCTCAAGCTCGTGCAGACCGGTGAGTCTTTGGATTTGCTTTCTGGTCTTGTTCCCTTGGTATTTATAGCTGCGTATCGGATCCGGGAATTTGGTGATGCCGTTCAGACCATAGTTAGACGCCTGTTTCAACAGAGGCTTGCTTCTCTTGGTAACAGGTTTTATGTAGTCTCGAAAATACGGAGGTATGTTTGAAAGAAGGGGAATGTAATTTCGTTGGGAAAGAGTGGTAAGTGTTATTTGAAACTTGGTTGGGTCGAGATGGACCCAGAGAGTGTTGCAGAGTTGAAACCACTTTGGTAGTACGCTTGGGGTTTGGGTATCTGTTGATCCTGTCACTGGGGGTGTATGAGATACTGGATTATATATCATTTTTAAAGTTGGATCTCATCACCGAGTTCCTAAATCTAATTTGAGAGTGTATTTCAGAGTTTGTTGACTTTGTAAAGTACACTTTAGAACATTGTTAAGGTTTTAAGGTTAGAAAGTCTTCGGTTCGTAGTGATACTTAGCGGTTATATCTTGGGCCTCATGTGAGAGTTTTATAGTATTAAGGGAGTTGGGTTAAGGTACTCGAAATAGTTCATGAAGGTTTTAGTGACATATTGCACAAAGAGTAGTAAAGAAGTGGAAGGTCAGAGGACTCAGGGTACAAGGGACAGGATATATCTATTTTTATGTATTTTAAAACAACATGGTTCTGTATTAGAGTCTGTGAATATTATCTTAGGAGTTTTCTTAATAGTTCATGGTGTTAGATCAAATAGATGTCTCCCAACAGAAATAATCTATTATATTATTATAATAATAATATCCCCATGCTTGAGGATTTCAAAGTATCATTTTACTTCAATTCATTTTTCCTTCCTAATTAATTTACATGCATAAGGTTATTATTCAAACATTAATGCCAAGGTCTAGCTTTAGTGTCCTTGGTCTTAGGATTTAGTGTCCCTCCCCATATAACATAACCTTCCCCTAAGTACTTTTTAAAGGTATCTCATTGTTTATGTAAGAGTTAGCCTCTAATTTGAATACATTTCCATAATCTAAATAGTGCAAAACACCGTAAGCTTTTCCCTCGCTTTGTCTTTACTATCACAGTACACGAGCCCTGGCTAATGTCCCCTCATGTGTGCATACACGATACAAACAGAATGCAAACACAATAGACGGTGATTCAAGAGGGGTTTATACTGGTTTTACTAACAACAGATGACTCCTGTTAGAAAATGTGGTCTTCCCTCGGGACATATTTCCTCCTGTGTAATTCTAAATCAATTAACACCGATAATTCTGCTAAACAAAATAACTGATTTCTACTGAATATACAGTTTAATCATGCAAATGTAATATATAGACTATTTCAAAATAATTGAAACATTTGTAGTACATCTGGAGAACAGAGTAATTATTGCTATGTCCATATTTTGGGACTTATAATTACTATAGAACTATTTTCTATTGGAAAACTGTTCTGCAAATGTCCAATCACTTTGTCACAGAAACACAGTCAACTCGATTATACGTGCATAGATACTTTGGTCAAAGATTTCTAGTGTACATGGCTCTCGTGATTAAGGGCTATTTTCTCCTGTATCTAGTACCTGGTAACGTTGTGCGTTTAGGGCACTGTGTTGTTTATTAGCTCAGCGATAACATAGGGTGTAACACTCTATATCGTAATGTGCGCTTAGGTGCCCTGACGGGGGCTGTAACTTGCCTCGCGAACGACCTCAAACCACTCGCTTAAGAGCTTCGCTTGCCTAAAACGTGAACCAGAGTTCAGAGAGATAAACCTCGTCATTTCTGTGGGGTGATTTTTCAGTCGTTTTACATACAGGGTGACCGGCAAAACACGCTGCAAATTATTTTTCCAAGGATAATTAATCATCGAGTTCAATCTAGTATTTTAAGCTACAATAGGATCTCTTGCATACTGTAGGATACTTGGACATTTTCCAGGGGTTTGATAGTCCATTCATCATTCCTAACCTATACATACCACTGCAAACTTCTACGTTCAGTAAAAGTTACTAAATTTCAATGGTCGTGAATCTTTATCCTTTCGAGACAATTCCAATTTATAAATCATATACAAGGTGACTAATGCTTACAACACAAATTCTCTCAGGCTTCTAATAGTATCTCAATTCTCTGAGATATACTTGGTACACTTGATAATAAGCTAACCCACAATTTGAAAGTCAGCTGTCAACGTCAATTTCTTTTTAAGTTTCTAATTATATTAACCGTTTGAGTCCGAAGATCGCGGTTCTCCGTTACACTGCCTAAAAGTGCCAGTCCATCGGTTTGTAGAATTAGATAAAGGTTATTTATTTCTTCTCCTTCTGATTATTCCTTGTTATTTTTGTTATAACTCACTTAGAACTGGAAAAATGTAACGATCGCATTATTTAAAATTTGTTTTTGTCAATATAGAAAAGCGTAATTCAGTTTCTAAATTGAATCGAAGCGCGATCGCGCCGCTTCGCATTTTTCAAATAACGGTTAACACTGATAATTAAGAAATAGAATCTTGTACCGGGTATGCTGTCCATTTCCAATGAATTCTCACGCTTTTTCCGTGAACTCCGAGCAATATCGATAATGGTGCTGCTCTTCCGTTCTCCCGGCAATATCAGCGACAGGAGTTTCACGACCCTGCGAGCGAGACAATTCGGCGGACGCCAATGGAGCCGACTCGACCGGAAGGGGAAACATTTTGGCAACGGTTCTGCCCCCAAACCCGCCACCGAAAAGCTCGGACAATAACGTCCGAAGCTTTATATCATGATCTTAATATACGTGACTCTCGCGCGGCGACGCGACGTTGTAAACGATAAATTCGTGGGAAAACGAGAGCTCGCCCATAAGAATGGCGGTATGGCGAAATAAACTCGCGGAATCCCCACGTTGGCGTAGACACTGTCGCCGTAACAGCAATTCAGGGTTCGTGGAACTCGGTCGGGAGATTTATGCGCGGCGCGGCGGCGTGGTCCAGCGATGAGAGAGTTTCAGAACAAGAGGAGCCACGCGTTCGGTGTCCCAAACTTCGCTATCGTTCACTCGCTTTTAATAACGGAAGAAAACAGTCTAACAGTCTATCTTTTTTTATATTTTTGGAAAATTATTTGGTTTTCAAATATTCATTTTGTAATGAGTTTGAAGAAATTTGAAGAGGTCTTGAATTAATTATAAATTTCATTTATGTTTTGTGGAAATCATTTTTCCTAGGATTCGTTTTCTAAGGAATTCGAAGGAATTTGAAGAGATCCGCAACAAGTTATAAGTTTTTCTTATATTATTAATAATCAATTTTCTCGTTATTTTTTAAGATATTCAAAGTTTTTCTCAAAGTTTTTCTCAAATATTCATTTTCTAAGAAGTGTAACCTCGAAATCAGAACATCAAGTGCTCCACTTTTCAAATTACTCATGAATGGATTACTGAAACTAAATTCTTTGTTTCAATCCAAAACTAATTCTAAGAAATTTAATCTTGAAAAGAAAACATCTGTTCAATTTTGCAGCTAATTCATGAGCAAATTATACATGATAAATAAATTCTTTCCGCTGATAACAGTTCTATGCGTCCTCGTATATTGCAAATATTTGAACAAACTAAAAAAAAATATTCAAAACGGAGGATACACTGCACAAGTGTCATATCGCGAAATACTTTTCGGTTCGTTTCAGGAAACTAAGGATTGCACACGCAAACTAGAAAAAAATAATTGCATATCGGATAACAATTAGTCCGATGGGAACGAAATCGAAATTCGGGACAAGCGGGGTGTGTTCGAATCGGTGGAAAGAAAACAAACGTCGCCTGTGTTTTCGAAATGTCAGCTTGACAACCTTTTTTTCCACGGTTCCCTGTCCTCTCGAACGGTTGACGAGAATAATCCTGTGCTCGTTCGGCGACAGGAGAAACGAACAAAAAAATATCACAGAAATTCATCCTCTCTTTCGCGCGAGGGGGAATCGAAGGGGAAAAAAAAATAGATTCACGGGAACAGAAGCGGTGGCAGCCAGAGCGGGATAAAATAACCCGACGCGATGACATAATTGTGAATTATTGCCCCATAAAACGTGTACACGTGCTCCGCGAAACGGCAGGCTGAATGGCGGAGCGCCATTTTCCCGTTTATAATTGCTCTGTCGCTGCTAGCCGAACATCTTAAGCGACCCTTCACTTCCTCTTTTATTTTCTCTCCGGCTCGCCCGCCCACTTTCA